CTAGGTACTATTATGTGTTCCAGTCTTCGCCACCCCCCTTAACCCTGCCCCCCTTAATTTTTTTCCAAGAATAGCCCTGGTACAATCTTCTCCTTGTTCTTCCCATCAATCTGGAATAAAAAAAGTGAAATTGAATTGATATTTAATATGTTTTTTATGTAATTGTTTAAAAAGATTTCTGAAAAAAAATTTTAAAGATTAAGGTTTTTTTGTGACACACTTTCATTCAAAAAAATCCTGAGAGTTTAAATATTTAGTTACGATCGTCAAACTTTCGTCAAATATAAAGCAATGATGGGCGTTCATTCTAGACACTATTTCGGCACTTTCAACCAAATAGTTTTTGACATGCATGTTTTTTAATGGAAAACTGGCGACGACTGGAACACCTGGCGAACACTGGGTGTTTTACCCTATTATAAAATTTTATTTTTTAATATTTGAAAATGTTAAACAAACATATCAATATTGCGATTTATACTCTTCAAGTTAATTTCGGATTCACTTTATGCCAACATTCTGCAGGTCACAATTTATTTACGAAGCCGCCACCGACATACTCTGGTGGAGATGTTTAGCAGAAAAATACATTTAGATTTAAAAAAATAAAAATAGAAGTTTAAATATAAAATTACAAGTGCTAAAAAAACAGCAAATAAAAAGAAGGCGATATATGCGGTAGTGGTGTAGTGGTAGAGCGCTCGCTTCATAAACGACTGGTTCCGAGTTCGATCCCCACCACGTCCCTGGTAGTACCGCGCTCAACTCGTTTCTCCGCGCAGCGGCCTTGTTCGTCAAGGTTCGTGTTTTGGAGTTATAGAGTTGAGAGAGGGTTATAACCACAAATAAGTAGCCTTCTCGTCTGTTGTGGCCTTCTCGGCCTTGAAGAGGTGAATTAAAAATAAAATTAAAAAAACAAAAAAAATCATTCGCGTCTTTTTAATAATTTTTTAAGACAATTCATCATTTAAGATATAAAAGAATCTTTTATATCTTAAATGATGAAATGTCTTTAAAATTTTTAAAAAGACGCGAATGATGCGAATATCTTTTAAACCTCATTTTATTAAAATTTTCATTAAACATCATTTATGATTTAAAAACATAACTTTTTATGGCAAAGTTTAAAAAAGGTCAAAACATTTTTTCCGCTTTTTTTTCACTTCTGTTACTTTTCATAATATTATAATGTATTTGTTAAATTATTTATCGTTATTTATTTTTAAAATACAAATTTAATCGCAATTAGTTGTAATTATGACAATTTGTTACTGTCACTTTTACTTTATATACTAAGTAAGAAAACATTACTTATTAGTTTGTTTGTAATTAATAAGTAATGTTTTCTTGCTTATTATATATTATATTAACGAAATATTTAAACTAAATTGATCATCAGCAAGACAACTTTACAGGTAAAATTTTTTTACGCAATTTATTCATTTTAATAAGTCAAATTTAGTTGAAGAAAACGGGGCAATTCCGAACAAAAATGTCATTTTAGGCTTTTTAATTGTTTTGTTTTTTGCAATAACTATTTATATAATTTATTACTTTACTTATTATATATATGAAACAATATGACAAAGTTTGTCAAATATCAGCTATTACCCGTGCTGATTTTCGGCACAGGTATTTTTATCAAAACTAATTTTATCTGTTTATACTAATGATGTTCTAAAGGTATTTCTTTTCAATTAAAAGTTAATTTAGATTAAACATTTGAACTATTTTTTTCAGGTGCAAGCTGCCTTTCTTCATAAAATGCCCAGAAAATCTTATATTATGAATTTCTTTGAAATGACTGATACTACTCATGCAAAGTGTAATGTGTGCGAAAAGGAACTTGTTGCCGGTACTACTTCAGGTCTTATTAATCATCTAAAAGGGCAGCACTGCCATGATTTTTTAGGAATATGAGAAAATCAATTATGCTCAACAAATTACAAAAAAGTCTCGCGTTATTGATAATGATGACTCTTCAGAAACCGATTTCGTCAGTACACCCAAACCAGCTCAACCTGTTGCCACTCCTGAGTTAAACCCTCAATTTTTAACATCATCTGGTAAATAGAGAACTGCTAAAGCCTCTAAAACGTCCCGTGTTGCTACTCCATGACCCAAAGACCATTTTGAAAATGTAAATATAGTTATATCATTGACTAAGTGGATTGTCCACGAACAATTACTTTTTAGGATAGTGGCTAGTAAACATTTTCATGAAATAATGAAGCAAGCAACAAAGGGGAAGTATAACCCTGTTTCATCATAATCACTTTCTCAGGACAGAATTCCTAAATTATATAAATTCATCAGTTATCATGTGAACAAAATTATTGACAATGAGAAGATTGACCTTGACAGTTGTGCCTTTACTACTTATATCTGAATTTCTTGTAATAACCTTGCTTTTCAATCGCTTACTCTACATTTTATTACAAAACATTTTCAGTTTAAACGAGCTTAAACTTGATCCATTTCCTAATGCACATAATGCTGAAAATATCGTAGAAAAACTAGATTACTTAATAAAATGCTTAAATTTTGAGAATAATACATAGGTGGCGACTGTCGGAGGTTCAAATGTTCTAAAAGCTATGCGCATCAGCAAAGTTATCAACAACAATCTTTGGTGCGCTGATCATCAGATACACTTAATTGTCACACAAGCTTCAGCTAGTGTTCCTGAGTGGTTAGAAATTTCATTAAAGCTAAACAAATTAGTTGGGCACTTCAGTCATTCTTCTAAGGCTACGAGTGTTTTGAGGATAATTGCTATTGAGCATAAGTAACCACGAACTAAACTTATCACACCAACTCGTGGGAATTCTGACTTAAGGCAGTTAAATTCATTATGGATCTAAAAGGGTGCTTGGCTATTATGGCAGAAACCTCAAATAAAATTGAAGGTTGGATGCCCACTGTTGTAGAAGCTAATATCATTAAAGGTATTATTGAATGTCTTGATCCAATCAATAAAATTTCACAAGTTTTAAGCTCTGACAAAGACCTTAAAATTAACTTAATGATATTGAAAATCTATAATTTTAAGAAAAAATTAGCTAAAATCGGAAAACTAAGTTCTCTTACATGTGTCAATATAACTCAAGCTCTAATAGTAGGAATCCAAGAACATTTTCCTGATTGTGGTCATTAAGTACCTGAGTATTCAATGGCATATTTTCTTGGTCCAAGAAAAAAGTAATCAAACGTTTTTGCACTTGATGTGCAAAGATACGAAAACATCAAGGATACCGCTATCAAGCTATAATTGATATGCGCCGAAGAGATGTTGGCGAAAGTCCAACATGCATTGTAAACTTAAACCAATCATCCGAAAGTGATAAATGTCGAATAAAGAAGCCTTAACTGCTGCTGTAAAGAAGCTATATGGGGAAAATAAAAACACTGATAAAGATTGTCCGTTAACTTATGCAAAATGCGAATTAGCGCGTTATGTTGATGAAGGAGTTGCAAACGACAACGCAGATATTATCGAATATTGGAAGACCAATCGTACAAGATTTCCTTATCTCAGCAGACTAGCAAGAAAGATCTTGTGCATCCCTGCATCATCAGCTACCTCGAATCGAGTATTTTCAACTACTGGAAATGTTATATGAGGAAGAAGAAATAGCCTTAGCATTGACAATATTGAAGCGATGGTTTTCATAAAAGAAAACTTAAAGGAGATGGAAAATATCACCTGGCCGATGTTTAAAAAAGATAACAATAAAAAATGAGAAAATATGTACAAAAAATATACTAACACATAATAATTTACATTTTTTCATTGTTGTTTTTCATTAAAATTTGTTTCAATTATTATGAAAAGTTGATAATATTACCATCAGGTGGTCTGTGACAGGTGGCCTGTGACAAGTAGATAGATCACAGGATAACAAAAAAAACTCAAAAAATATATAAAAAACTTTATTAAACACCAACTTCGGCGATGTGGCATAACTAAATCTGAAAAATGTTGTCGATATATCTAAGTTAGTGACCAATATCCTAACTAAATTAAACGTCTTCTTTTTGTAACGAATATATTCGCAATTGCTTATTTGCTGAATGATTATTTTATTCATACAACGAATAAGCAGGAACAAATATATTTGTTTAACGAATGTTTGTAAAGCATTTATATATTTAACAATTATTATTCGTTCAGTAATCGTTTAACGAATAAAATGAAAACGAACCAATATTCGTAACTGTTTTAACGAATAATCTTTACAAAACTTGTTTATCAAATAATCGTCGCTCTCTATTATTTAATTTTCACGCAGGGTTTTTGTGGCGATATTTGGAACCTTTGATGTTTTTAAGCGTTTCACTTCCATCTATACTTGATGAGCATTGATACTTCCATGATATTATCTAAAAACCGTTTTTTTTGTTGACCATTCATTTAAATTGAAATAAGTTGCCATGCAACAAGAGTATAATTCCAAACATTAAAAAAGTAGGTTTCCATGACTTTCAGACACAAAAAAGGTATTATTTTGATTGACATACATGATGAAATGTTTATAATATTTAAAATCTCTAAAATAAAAAATTTTAATCATTTTTTTGATATATTTTTTATTTAAAAAAGTATGTTTTGTCTTTTAAAATAATTTATATAAAAGATTTATAAAACTACAAAAGTATTATGCACTTAAACTGTTAGTAAAAAATTACACAAGTATTATGCACTTAAACTGTTAGTAAAAAAACTACACAAGTATTTTGCACTTAAACTGTTAGTAAAAAATTACACAAGTATTATGCACTTAAACTGTTAGTAAAAAACGACACAAGTATTTTGCACTTTAAACTGTTAGTAAAAAATTACACAAGTGTTATGCACTTAAACTGTTAGTAAAAAACTACACTAGTATTATGCACTTAAACTGTTAGTAAAAAAATATTTTGCAGTCTTGACTTAATTAATAGTTGACTTAAATAGTTATTTGATAACTGTTTTAAATTTATTATATTATTTTAAATAGGTCTTAATGATATTCAGACTGAGGGAACATATAAATGGTCTGATAATACAACAGGATTTTTTTTTAATTGGGGAATTAATGAACCCACTGAATTAGATGGAGATGAAGACTGTGTGGAGACAACTCGTGACGGTTGGAATGATCTTAACTGCAACGCAAAGCTTGGTTTTATTTGTAAAAAAGGTAAACAACATTTAGTAAATTTTTGTAACTCTTTAATATCCATTTGAATTTTAAGTATTTAAAATTTTTTGTGAATTTTTACAGATTCTCGCAATTATCATTAAAATTAAAATAGAGAGCTGATTTTCATTTAATTTTGTTTTGTTTACTCAAGTTAATAACTACTTATAACTTGTTTATCGTTATAATTAATTATATGTTATTTATTGGTGTTATTTAAATTTATTCTTATTTATTACAAGGGCGGATCAATAGACGATTGTCAATTGATCCGTCCAATTTTGGGCGATTGTGATTGATTGGGCGATTAGTTTTTGTGAATTTATGCGTACTCTTTATGTATTTGCAAATCCTTTTTTAAATTACGTTACACGCACAACAACTTTATCAAATATTTGCCTTACTAAACTTAATTTTTAGCTGTTTTTCAAAAGCTGTTTGTCTGAAGAATAAAATAATCTAAAGAGTTTTGAGCCTGACCAAAAGAGGGCAAACTAATTACTAAAAATGCAATTTAACTTTCGTTAAGCAGAAAACAAGGTAAAAAATTGTTACAAGTTTGTGGCAAGATTTCTTTGAATCAGTAGTGCGAATCGTATTAGAAAATTTTACAAGATGTTGAGATTCCAATACTAATTACAATAAGAAAAAAAAATTCATTAGAGTTTTCTCTAATTTCTAGATATCACTTCACTGTTGTAAAAAAATGAAATATTGCTTGATGTCATGACCCAGAAAAATCCTTTGGGGGTATGATTGTTCTATCATTGGTAGTTATTAGGTCATAAGTCTCAAAATCTGGTTACACCGTCCGTGGAAAAAAATCCATTTTTTCAAGTCCCATTAAATACATAGCTGATAAGTAACTAACAAAGTTGATATTAAGACTTTTTATTCATCCCAAAAACATTACAAAAATATTTATGCAATAAATTCACTGGTATATAACAACTTTCTTCAATTCGTTCAAAGTTAAGTTTTAATTCTAATTGTTATTTCTTGAGAAAACAGGGTTAGGGTTAGGGTTAGGTTTCTTGAGAAAATAGGGTTAGGGTGAATGACAGCATGAACCTTAGGAGTTATGGTGGTGTCCTGAAGTTGTAAATAGGAGACTCTGAACTGCTCAATTTTTTTAGCATACTGTAATCAAGGGCATTGCCTAAATAAACATGGATAACACCATTGAGCAACAGAATTGAATTTTTTTAGTGTGTCAATAAAGGTAACAGCTGGAAAAAAGAAGTGCTACTGGGTTAATCTCTCTAAATCATTCACATTCTTCAAAAGTTTCCTGAACTCATTTCCAGCCAGTTGTCCACCATGAAATGGCTGCTGTTGAATATGAAGTAATGCCAGCCATTCAGGAGCATGTGTCCAAAGCTTTGCGAGAGACTGTAGAAGATGATTTACAATATCAAGCAACAGATGAAGCTCCATGAGTAGAAGAACATCAAAAATAAAAGATTCATCTGAGGCATTGATGATGGGTTCATGAACAGAGTTTCTGAATAAACTTGCTTTCTTGATTTTAGCACCAGCCACATTGAATGTCTGATAATCTCTTCTGATTGATCCGAAAGTTCTTAGAGATCCACACTTAGCAAGGTCTTTTGATGAAATGTCACATCAAGAGAATGGATGTGCACTAGAATGTGCTTGTAGACCACAAATGATGTTTGTCAGCCTCATATCACCGGACAAAATGAAGGGAAACTTTCAATGTTCAGCAGATCAAAAACTTGCTTGACATTGCTATAGTTTTTTTGGAGATTTTCAGGAATGACAATCAGTAACTGACGCTTAACACCAGAATCTTTGGCCAGAGAATTAGTGAGAAGTTGTTTTGATAGCGAAGATTGTAAAATTGAAACTTTGTACATGATTCCAAAGCTTACTTTTAGAAAACCACCACTACCATCCACTCCCAGCTTCATAATGTAGTCATCAGAGAGGTTTCTAGTTTCAAGAACTTGCTGACAAAGAGTTTTCAAGTCTTTGCAGTAAATGATAAGTTTATCGACCTGATTTTTGCCCTTGTCATTTGCAACTTTGATCCAAGTTTTGGTAAAATGACTTTCAAGTTTTTTGCTCAACTGGTCAAACTTGGAGAGAAAATTATTTTATACAATCTGACTTGAAACAATTTGATTTAGTGTTGACACTATTATGTGGCACATAAAAAAGATCTTTTGCTGTCAGTTGTGGTTCTTTATTGAAAATTTTTCTTGCTTTTAAAGATGAACCTTTGAAATAATGAAGAAAGGTTTTGCATTATTAGGCATTACATAGACTTAAAATATAAAGCTAAAACTTTAAATATCTAATACAATGTTACCTGGAAGAACTGGAATAGAGTGGCCTCCTATTCCCTCTGGTCTACTAAGATGAACTGTTTCATGGGGTGAAACTTCCTTGTTGGCAATTACTGATGCTGCAACTTTTTCAGCTGCAACAGAGTCCTTTGACACAGCTTCTACTAAATTCTTTCGCAAAGTGGACTTTGAGCAACTGTGTGAAAGACCCTTGCCAACTATTGAAAAGTATTGAGAACATCTTATTTCAACTGAGTTCTGGTTTGCTTTAGGTTTCTTGGTTGCCATGACTGGATGTGGAAAATTGTGCCTTGCTTTGCCAACTGAGCAAATCAAACAGTTACAAACTGAATGCAAATTTTGCCAACTGAGCAAATCAAACAGTTACAAACTGAATCTCTTGTAACCGGACGGACTTTAATATTGGAGAAGTCAAACATCTGTTGTTAAGTTCAAAGCTTCCCCTTCTCAAGTCTCCTAAGGTTGGAGCGGCATCGCTCACAAATGCCAGTTGGGACTTCTGGATCATTAAAGTCAATTGGCTGCTTCAGAATTTGTTGCATTTTTTCTGTCATAAAGTTGGTTAAAAAGCGACTAGCCTTGCCAAGTCACAATAAGCAAACAGTCTTCCTGTTCTCTTCATGGATTTTTGCTTGATTTGGCATATATTTTGTTAATTCAGTAAATCTATGAAAAAAATGAAAATCTATGAAAAAAATGGATTAAATAACTAATGCTTAAGTTTTTTTTGAGAATTTTATCATAATAGTTTATAAAAAAGCAATTTCGATTTTTTTAAATTTTTTTTTTTGGTACAAATAAATCGTATAATCTTTTTGAAATTAAAAAAAGGTCCAATTTTTTAATTTTCTTCCTAAAACAACTTGGTTAATACATTCTGTCAAAATTTATGAAGTGGATGAAAGTAAAAGTTATAAAAAATAAAGTTTTATTGCCCTAGACAGGCTTGGTCGGGAAGCGGGAGCGATCGCTCTCGATTGCTGACCACGTAAATAATATTTAGTTGCGAAAAGCTGGCCAGATTTTTTAGTCGTTTTGAGAACATTTTAAAAAGCAAAAAAAAAAAAGCGCCAAAGATTAATTGGACCGATGAGAGACAATTACAAAAAAAATAAATAAATAGGTATCTTTAAACGCGAAAAAACTTAATGCTAAATAAATTATGTTTAAAACAAATATTTTCAAAACATCGCTCTTTTATAATTTTTTTTATAAAATTAAGCGATTTTTTTTATATAAAGTAACAACTTACGATTGTTTAAAAAGGAAACAAATATTCTTTATTTAACAAAGTTTGCAAGTTTTAGTTTTACTTTAGCGAAATTATTTTATAAATAATAAAGTTAATTTTTTCAATACCTATTTCATGTTTCGCGTAGTTTGAAAAGTTTAACATATTTGAAGCAATTCTTCTTAGTAAGATAAACAAATGAAATAATTAAATCATTGAATTACTATAGGAATTAAATTAACAATATAAAAATCAACTTAAGGTTAACAATACTTTATGACGAGGAAGCGAAATTGCTTCACAATATCGCTGGTGATGTTTAGTGAGTGGGCTTTTTAGTTTTAATTGGTATTTAAAGCAGAAAAAAGTATAAGGAGTTTTTAGAATGACAACTTAAGCAAAAATAATTAGAGTTAGTAAACCAATATCTAGTAACTTTTCTTTATATCTAATTATTTGCTATATATATTTGTGTTCTGTCGTGACCGTAGGCGCGGTGCTTGTTCATCTGCGAGTTACTTTGTACGCGTTGTTTGTGTTTAGTAACTAGAAACTTCTTATATGTTTGTTACGTAATTAGTTTTATTAACTATAACGATTATAACTTCATTGAAAACGCAATTATTTTTGTAAGTCTTTGTTTAAATCGTAAAAATTGCTTTAAAAGATACATTACGATAAAAAACAGATAAACAAAATTAAATTTACATAAAGAATACATACTTTTTAAATAAAAAATAAGAATATACTAATAAAATCTATAATTCATAATAAACTTTTAACATTTTGACAATTTAATATATATTTAAAACTTTTATTTTTGTAAACAAATAATGTATTTATTCTTAAAACAATTTATGCTAGAAATCTCAAAACGTTCTAAAACATTTTTTAAAACATTTCAACAGAATTTCTAGAACTTTATTTCGCTAAGTCAGCGTATTTTTTGAACCAATACAATTAGTTTCTTCGTTAATTGGCGGGTTTTTAGTGTTCGCGAATATTCTTTTTATTCTTTTGCACAAAGATGTTTTGAGAACATTCAAGTTTATTATGTTTCCATGTATGTCCGTAAAACAAAAAATTAAAAGAATAGATTTTCTTCCACGAACGGTGTAACCAGATTTAGAGACTTATGTCCTAGTAATCACCAATGATAGTACAATCATACCCGCAAAAGAATTTTCTGGGTCATGACATCAAGCAATATTTCATTTTTTTACAACAGTGGCTTACGTTACTGAGCGATTGTTATAGAGGATTTTTTTTTTAATACTATTTAGATTTTGCTTTTTTAGATTTATTTAACAAAAAAACTGCAATCGTTTAGAACTCATTCACTAAAAATAATTAACAATAGCAAATTTAAATAACAGGTGTCTGTAAAAAACGCTGAGAGGTTTTATTTATTAACATTAATTTATTAAATCAATAAC